GGCTGCAGGAGGACAGAATTCCCGAAATATTTTGCAAACTAATCCGAAAGAACGAAGGCCTCGCGTGGCAATACGTTCAGTGTGAGAAGAAACTTTGAGCATGCTATCATAAAAGAACACTACGATTACCAAACTCGTAAGGCTATTCGATCATTCCAGCGACTATATAGGCAGCGCAGCGGAAGGTGGAAATGGCGGACGAGACCGTGATGTCGCAAGCGTTTACGTCAGCGTCGCAGAGCGTGAAGGCGCGCTCATTGGTTCACGACCACTGAGAGACCGAACTGCGTCGCAGTTTTATCACCGTGTGACAGCTTCGGAGCACGGCTACATGGCGCCGCCTGCGTCGCTGGAATGACCGAATACATAACGACACGGCATTGACAAAGTATGGAAATGACATGATCGATGTTTTGCGAGATATACTCATGAACTTGGTCTTTGAGGTATTCAGGGAAACGTTACCGTTGTCACACCATTCACACACACAAAAAAAAATCTGACTGCAGCAAGCGACAGTCGTTAACCAAATAAATTTCCTTTAAATATCTTGATGTCATCGGCATAGAAGAGAAAAGAAAAATAACGAATTGCAAAACTAACATCGTTAACGTTAGTTGTAATAATAATAATAATATTATTAATTGTTGAAATTTGCTCCTTGCCTATAGCGAAATACTAAGGACACCTAAAAACCATTACCAAGACGATTAAGAGAGTGCTTTTCCGCGGAACGGAGTCTCCCTATTTCGTCCTTCTAATGAGATATTGATTTACGGAAGAATATACATTAGGCTATTATTATTAATCTGACACTGGTTAGGGCACCATTACAGGTGAGATTACTTGTTAATGAAGAAGCTCATCAGGCTACGTGCCCTTCCCAGGAAATAAAGACAGAGTGGACAGCGTCAGTATAGAACCAGGTATCGCCCAACTTTGTCCAACCTAATTATATCAGGATAATTAGACACCTCAGAAAATTCTACGTACACTGTTTGTGCACAGCTGGGCTAAGACACTCTATGCGCGATTAGGGCAATCGCTAATGAATGAACAAGTTACAAGGAAATTGCGAAGAAAGAGCGCTGGCGTTGTGGGGGCCGACCGTCTACTGGTTGTGGGGAAGCCTGAGAGACATAAACCAAAGGTGGTTGGGAGGGGGGCGGGAGGGAATAGTGAAATCCGCAACCTGAACATACGTTCACCTACAGAATGCGAATAAATGCCATCCAAAATTAACATACATCGCAAAAGAAAAAAAAAAGAGGCACATAATGTGAAAATAACTGACATGTCGAGAAGAAGCGACTCATGTTTCCTTCATTAGGCCAAATGAGCACGTATCGTGTTTTTCTTTCTAATTTCCAGCAAAACTAAACCGCGTTGAGGCTCGTTCCGTGTCTCCACGATTATGTGGGACAGGGAGAGGTCAAATGTACCCACCCTTCGCCGTTTGTATTCAGAGAACTGCGAAAAGGGTATCGTTCCATTTGGTAATTACGTAGGAATCGCTCACCCTTGTTACGTTCGGATAGGTGGAACAAACAGGAGAGGGTTCCACCTCTCCAACAGGAGAGGGAGAGGGTAGGAGGACCTATCTTTGTCAAAGGCGCACTGTCATGCCCGGTGCGTTAGTTTAAAGCATGCAGCCTAATGCTGACTTCATGTCCAGTGGTGTCGCGTGTTGATGTTGATTTGTTTGTAACATTAACCTGCTTAAAAATAACACGCCAAAGATTAGATTTCAGCTTTGAGATCCTATCAAAACGTCGGCCCGCCTGTCTGATGCACTTTCTCCTGATCGTGCAACCTACCCAAATTTGTGTTTCTATCCATCAGCTTTGGGACCTCTGGCTAAGTAATAGACAGGGTAAGACAGAGAGAAGAGCAAATGGAAAAGTTATGTAGTAATGGTCTGTTATACCGTTGTCACATGGGCACTTTTGATTGCGATCAGGGCCAATGCGGTTTATGCTCGATTCGGAACAGGCGTTGCTACATGGTTCTATTTCAATCGTGATCAGGCTAAATCAGGTCACACGGGCACTTCTGATTGCAATCAGGGCTGATGGAGATTATTATGGTCGATTCAGACCAGGCATTGCTACGCGGTTCTATTTCAATCGCGATCAGGCTCAATCAGGATAGAAACTATTGTTATCAGCGCATTTAAACCAGGTTCCCAGATTGTGATTTGACTTGCGTCAGCGCCAAGCTCGAAATGAATTAGCCTGAGCCATGTTCCAGCAGCCGTTGCTGGTGGCGATCAAGATACACGATTCGAATTGGACCTGGTTGCAATAAAAAGTACACGTGTGACGCTGCAGTGTTACAAACTACACTGTGATACCACTCATCGCTGTTCTCAAGCTGCCACACAGCAGAGGCAAACGCAGCGAAAGGGCGAAGCGTGTCACATTTCCCCCTTTGCGTAATCAATAAGGCTACCGTGTGGTCAACCAGTCGCTTCTGATGCAACCAGGTCAACCTGTCGATGGTCAACTAGGTCAACCTGTCGCTTCCGGCATGAACTCAGCGTTCCCGCAATAACCTGACACGCAGATTTCTTCGCGCTTCGTTTCCATAGGCACTCGTTTCTGGGACATGGTTCCGGGGTTTCCACAAAAAAGTGCCCTCTCTACCCCTCGAAGGTGTTGCTAACGAAGCATTCGAGGCGTGAATGACGTACATGATCATTAATTACCCCCGTGCTCTCGAAGCAACCTTGGTAGACGGTGATGAGGGAAAAAAGTGGCGTCGCGGAACTTGTCGCAGGTCGGCGATCACCCGCGCTCGCAGCCTCAGCTGCGACTGACGTAATCAAGACGCGGCCTCGATATTTAGGGTTAGACGCTGCTTTTTCATTAGCTCCACACGATCGAGCTGCATTGAGCCTAGAGAAGCCGTCCTTTCGCTGTGGCCATTCGCGGGAAAACGGAGTCTGCTTACGAGAGCGTATCAATGCTTTACTAATGGGCTATTCACATCCCGGCGAGGCGGTGTGAATCTGAGAAGCCGCCTGATTTTTTTTTTCTTTTGTGGCTTGCCGATCAAAGCTTTCGGAGAAAAAAAGAAAAAGAACACGCGATGCTTCGGTCTTGGACACGAGATACTTTGGGAAACGATGGGAGACCAGAGTACACGAGTTCAGCATCCTTTTTGCATTTGACTTACGGGACGTTGCACCCCGGAGATAAAAGCCCGAGGCACCGGCATAAAATATTCAGTTTATAAGTATGTGAAATAATCGGTGAGTTGGGGTGTGTACCCATCACCAAACGGTGCAGTGAAAGTGAGTGCGTGTTTGGTGAAGAACGAAACAGGGAGAGAGGGAGGTAGCGTACGTCTGTCGGAGATTTGTTTTGCAGACAATTTGATGTGGCTTGTGAATGTATTCAAGTTTTGTCAGTTCAACCCTTTCTCAGTAAAAATGCTGGGTTATCGTGATGCATGCAGTGACCGAAAGCTGTTGACAGGGTGGGTTTTAATTACACGGCAAGTTTGAACGCAGCAAACTAAGAGAATCCGATCAATAAGCCGCAGATCAAGACACATTTTCTTCGCAGTATTGAACTTGGTACAGATGTATTAATACGTGCCCTAGAATGGGCAGTCACACAAGAGTCATCGAAGCGAGTCTCATTGCACTTTTTAGGCATGCACACTCGTACGAGGGTTTGCAATGGCATACCGATGTGACTGGGAGGAAAAATTTGTGCTTCATTCAACTGACACGATGCTTATATGCGACAAGATAGAAGAAGACAAAGGAAAAAAAATGACATGAAAGAGACCCCAGAGACGTGGTTTCACAAACCGGGGAGGACGAGAAATATGACTTCTTGTCATGCGTAGTTAAATGATAGATTGACGTAGACATGACACGGCGTTCAAGATGTATCCGGCTTATTTGAATTGTTTCCTTTAGATATTTTACTAAACCCTAAGAAATGAGGTGGGAAAGTACGGTTGTGTCTGTAGTGCTTGTGTTATTGTGCATAAATTTGTTGCGTGTAAGTTACAAACACGTGAATCACGCTTTTAAGTCTTTCCTGATGCTTGTGTACTGAACTTTTGTAATAGTAGATTCCAATATCAACGGAGTTGCGATCAAACGTGTAAATACTAATGAAACGAAATGTTTTAATGTGGTTGCCAATAAATATTTACTATAGACGTGCGATGACGATTGATTGCACGTTGTGCCCAGAAAGGTTATGGAATCCGTTTGTTTCATAATGTCTCAGGTAAAAAAACAAATTCCCACAACTTGTTGACCTGATTACTTCGAGTACAGCTGGTACAAAAGAAGGTCTCGTCACATGGCGTATACCAGCGCTGAGTGCATGTGGCGTATATGACGTATATGACTCAGTGTAGCGTATACGTTTTGGCCCGAGCCATATGCAACCCAGTGAAATCTCGCGTGGTGACAATATTCACATTTTCATTTCTCACAGCATTTTCACAAATAAGACATGCATAATGAAGTTTGTATGGCTTTCTTTGAACCAAAGTAACGAGTTGATTGTACTTACCCGAGCCTTCCGCAAACAATGCTGTAAGAAGAAAATGGTCGCAGGAAAATGTGGTGCATAGACCTTAAAGAAGAAAATCTTTATGTATTTAATTCCGGGAAAAACTGTATTCACACAGTTACACGTCTTTTTTTTACACGTTTTTTTGTAATTTCTCTCTCTCTCTCTCCACAACATTTCTTTTTAACATCTTTTATTCCCCTCACTCCTTTTCCCGGCACAGGGTAGCCAGCCGGTCTAAGAATTGGCTAACCTCCCTGTCTTTCCGCTTAAGCTTTCTTCCTCCTCCTCACGACAAAGCACTCTTATGTTCAGTATGCATAATGAAGTGCAGGCTTAAAGTATCCTCCTCACTACGTATTTATCGCTCTCTCTCTCTAATGTATTGCTGTATGGCCAATTCGTGCGCACCTTAGCTGAATGACATTTTCTGGAAACGCCGTTGAAGTGGCAACTCACCGAGCAAGGCAGCTGCCAGTACAGCGAGGGTCCATGAGGCGTTGGCCATGCCCGTTCTGCAAAGAGATGGTGAGGGGTTTAGAAACGTTTCGAGGGAGCAGCAGTCGCGAGACTCTCTCCTGCACAAACAATTCACGAGCAGGCGAGGTCGCATACGGCTGTCGTTTCTATACCGACAACATGACAGCGCCGATGTTGTCGTGGCTGTGCTACAGGCAAACTGAAGCGTGTGCTCATACTCTGAAAAGAACGAGTAAGAACGGCGCTTTTTTTTTGTCCCACAGTAGTCATCTACATCGCGTGCATTTTCCGGCACTATCACTGTGTGCTCGGTACTTGCAAGTCACGTACGGCATGCATGTAATCAGTGTGGAATAGCATTGTTTGAGTGGAAATCGCCTGGCGCTTTCAAGCGGGGGCTAAGAGGGCTTGTTGGCACGTACGCATATATTTATTTCATACAGCGCAGGAACGGGACACACATGAGACCACAGAGGCACCGACCAATGCCGCCTAGATAATTTCAGGCCTGCTCACTGTTTCTCCCGCGGGCTCTTACGTCACTCCGTTTAGACAACCGTGTTTCGCTACACAGGCCGTGTTCCAATACTCACCGTAGACGGCTAAATAGACAGCTAAATGGATGGCGGCCATCTTGAGTCCCATTCAAATTCTCGCGTAGCCGGCAAAATAGACAGCTCCGGGAAGACCGCATCGTAGACAAATACGATGCAGGCTACTTTGCTGTCACTAAACAATATGGCGACTCAGCAAATCACTCAGATATGCTCAGAAAGATCAAATCTCGCCGGAATGGTCGTCTGCACACAAACTGACGCTTCTCCAGATGCTCAATGTGAGTAACGTTTATTTGTTTTTGATTTTAACACGGAATAAACGAGAAAATACAACTGTTACATTTGTTTATTCTAGTTTTTTTTCTTGACGCGAGGTGACGCATTGTCGCGTAAAAGCCGTCTAAATGTGTTCCATTTCTCGGGCAGCATGAGCTCGATGCTGTCTTCTAAGCAGCCTTCGTAGACTGTCTACGTGCTGTCTAAGAGATGGAACACAGTTACAGACGTGGCACGCTGGCTCTCGTCGCTCGACAGACATGAATTGCCAAGTTTGACGAACGTTTTCGTGTCATGTTGGTGAGCTGGTTGGTGACTCGGGAAGTCCGTGTTTTTCTGTGCACAGTAAAACTGCAGCGTGGGTATGTGATGCGCTTGTTGCACGGGATATTCGCGATGTGCGCGGCTTCAAATCTGAATGGTTGGGCGATGCTGCGTGGCGAAGTTTTGCGGCGAATGGGCCGAAGTCAAGCTCTGTCAAGCTGTCGATTTCTGACAGCTTTTACTGCTCGCTTCCAGCGTCATGTACGTTGTGCAAGATGCGAATAAAACAAACAAACAAACAAACAAACAAACAAACAAACAAACAAACAAACAAACAAACAAACAAACAAACAAACAAACAAACAAACAAACAAGTTACGAGTGTTCTAGTTTCTTGAGGATAACCGAAGAGCAAAATGGGAGCGTATGGTTCGTCAAGCTGGCGTCGACGTCCATTTCTTCGTGACCCAAAAGTACGTGTGCACTTTTTAGCACCTGTGCACATTTCGAAGTCGTTCCAATAGTACCGTCTCCACCATGTTCCGTTACTGCTCTAACATAAAGGTGTCGTTTATGCTCTGACATGTTAGCGTAGGCCCTGACATTAAAAAATTCCGCCATATCCACGAAGTGAATGATGATGAGTGGGCGAAGCTCCGGAGGTAAACCTGATAAACCATGAATCCTCTGTACATTTTGCCCACTCGATTTTATTACATCGCTCTCCCTAGCGTACGTCGCCGCACTAAATCGAACGATTGCCTTCAACCAATGACACGCGCCATATGTGACATCATTCCTATTTTATAAGATCTCGCGTCTTTCATCAACTACAAGTACCGCTTTCTAGTTTATAACATCTTGCATCTTTTCATCATCAGCTACAAGTACCACCATCTAGTAAACACAAGAACTAAACGAGAGGTGGCTACATACAGGAGACGGTACCGCCATCTAGTGAACACTGCAAGAACTAAACTAGAGGTGGCTACATACAGGGGACGGTACCGCCATCTAGTTAACACTGCAAGAACTAAACTAGAGGTGGCTACATACAGGCTACAGGGGACGCACAGCCCACGCCCTAAGGAGCTTCGCCCCTAATAATAAACGCACATGGCAGTAAATTTTCAGAACAGGCGTTTTTCCATCAGTGTAGCTAAACGCTTTGCTACCGGCGATTAGCACACGGACTTCTTGCATTACCACCGTTTACTTGGTTGAAAAAAGAAAAAAGGAAGGGACGCTGTTGCATTGCTTAGTGCATTGGTTTTGTGCACAGTGTTATCTTGCCGGTATTCCAACCCCTTTACTGCAGTATTATAATTTGGTGCTAGTGCCACCAGCACCCTCGCCTAATATGTTTCCTCGAAATTTAGATGCCTGTAGAGACTTATGGTAAAGCGCTTAAAAAACGGTTTTCGGGTGTGTGTGCTTTAAGCTAGAATGTTTAAGAACCGCTACCAAATATACCGATCCAAGTACCGTTAGTGCAGTAGAAGTGCCCACGTTGGCTTCATGATTTAATTTGGACCCAGTACTAACATTTTCCCGAGGTCCTAAGTTATATGAGCGACTACGCACCAGTGCGAGAGGGGCCAGAGCAAGAAAAGAAACGACGCTTCTTGTGTCGGTCACGAAATATTTTTGTAAAACGAAAGATTTTGTTTTCTCTTGCAATGGTCATAACCCTGATATTGTGCTGAATAACATACTTGTGGCAGCAGCACACACTATCCTCAATAACGAAGTGTCTATGAAAACAAACGTTCGAAAGAGTACAAATAACATTGCAGAATTTTCGCAAATGAGTGGGAACAATTTTTAGAGAGTGTATGTGTGTACGTGAGTGCGTGTGCGTGTGAATGAAGAAATCATGATTAAAATTTACCCTATTTCTTTCGTCACTTTGTCGGGCCATGAAATTTCGCTCTTATGAATTGATCACCCGTTCGATAGCGTACAATCTTTTCTTGCTTTTAGTAGAATAAACTTGTGGCTCACACATAAATCTTCTAACGCTTTCAAACGTAATAGATTACTTAATCCAGTGCCTTTTTTGACGGCCCCGCCATGGTGGTCTAGTGGCTAAAGTACTCGGCGGCTTACCCGCAGGTCGTGGGTTCGTATCCCGGCTGCGGCGGCTGCATTTCCTATGAAGGCGGAAGTGTCATAGGCCCGTGTGCTCAGATTTGGGTGCACGTTAAAGAACCCCAGGTGGTCGAAATTTCCGGAGCCCTCCACTACGGCGTCTCTCATAATCCTATGGTGGTTCTGTTACGTTTAACCCCATATATTAACCAATCCTTTTTCACGCTAAAGGCGAAGAGTAAAGCTGTTAATCATGTAAAAGTCGCCACGAACGCTTTATCTTTTAACGGGAGACGATGATGGCAATGAATTGAGAGCCTCCCGTACGTGCGCTTGCTCGGGCAAAACGAGTGACGTCACGCCGGCTGTGAGCAGGCCTGAAAATGGGGAGATTTAGAATAGCGCACCGCGAGCTCTTGCGGTGCGGTCACTGCCACTGCGCATGCGTCGTAACGCGAGTTGGCGTTCGCAGACCGCACGCAAAAAATCCGAAATTGCGTGCGGTGATGCAGCCCGCATGTTTTCCGCAAGCGCTGGTTTCGAGGCTGCGGTGTCGCTGCAATCGTGCGTTGCGGTTCACAACAGGGCAAACGCTATTCTGGAACTCGCAAGGCGCCCGATACGCCCGCAACGCTCGCAGCGCTTGCAAACAGTATTCTAAAGCTCCCTAATATTTTTATGGGTGAAATGTCGCTGACATACAACATAGATTTATTGGGTGAACACGACATCTACAGGAAGAAAAATACAAAAAAAGACACGTGATAAGCATAATAAAAGGATGACTGAGAGTTACAGGATTTTGAAAGCGTTAGTCTCCCAGATTATCGATTTCCTGGTCAATTAACTGAATGAACGGTAAATAACCCTAGAAAGGGCCTCGCTTGATAATGGTGAATGCTTAAATGATTTCGCGCGCGCGCTGGGTCGAATTCTTTCTCATGATGGTGACTTGATTGAGGTTCGAAATGCACTTATACGATATGCAGAGTAGTGCCAGGTTCTTGCCTTTCTTTTGCTCTACATTGTTGGTGTGCTCCCTAAGGCTATTACTACGGCAGCGTCCACTTTGTATTACGTATAGGAGCGGCCACAGCTCAGTGGAATGTCGATAAATGACTCCCTTGATGCAAGTATGTATACTAACATAGTAACAGGAGTGTTTGGTTTTTTCTGGCATGAAGTTTTCGAATTTTCATAGTGGACGTTATTGCATATATATATATATATATATATATATATATATATATATATATATATAACGCGAACGACTCATCGACGCCGTGCTTCATCTCCTATGGTGGTGCTATGTTTTCGGACATTCCGGCGCTACTTGAGTACCTACCTTGCCGGGTGGACACGCTGTTTCTGCATGTGGGCACCACGGACATCCTGAAGACGAGCTCTTCAAGATCACTGGATTCGTTGAGGGAGGCATTGGAGCGAATGAGGCAGATGCGCCCGGACGTCAAGACACTGCACCTTAGTCTGCCACTACCTCGCGCACCCGATCGCCGATGGCGGGACTCGATCAATGAATCGGTTTAATATGGAGGTACAGCGATTCAGCAGAGAGGCCCGCCGTCTCTGCCACTACGGGTTGTTGGGAGCAGGCGTCTATTACGTCGAACATGGTTTCTCAACACTCCCGCTGCGCCGCTTCCTGGCTGCTGACGGCTTACATGCAAGCTTCGAGGGAGTCGCGCTGCTGGCACAGCACACGAGGGTGCAGCTGCGATGGACGTCGGCGGCATGGAGATCGGCGGCAATCGCTTGCACGGACAACTCCAGTGCCAAGCCCCATCAACAACAAGGAGCCGAGCGACACACAGAGCCATCCAGAGCAC